TATACCGTATTTTATTTGTCAGATCAGTAAGGCAAAAATTAACAATAATAGTTTCATGCGTCACTTTGCCAATTAAAAAATCATTTTAATTTAAACATGCGTTTATCCTTTTGTAGAGTTTATATGATGTATTTGTGTAGCATTGAATTTTGAAAAGTTATATTAGAAACTTCATCACATTTTCAATTCAATTTCTAACTATTGTTTAATTGAATTTTGAAAATTTATTTTTAATATCAATTTATACTATTAGAGTTGCAAAAAAAGAACGTTAAATTCCTTTCATAATATTTTATTAACATATATAAACATGATTTGATGAAATGTGACAACTATATAGTTAGAAGAAAAAAAACATAGATTTATTCGATTTTAACGCACCTCTATACCGTCCCACACGTCTTCCACTTTTTTAAAGTTCAACCTTTTTCTCCTAACTTATTTTCCGTTTGTTCACTTGATTCAATAATTTTTATAGAAGAATATTAAGAAAATGCATTATTCTAATAAGTTGCTACAAATTCACGTAGATAAATGTACAAACACACACAGTCATGAAATTTGAATTGTTGAGCAGTTGACCAGATGATTAAATACTTTTGCACCACACACCAAAAAAATAGAAGTGCAAACTCTATTTAATTTGGGGGATTTATGTATGTTACGATTTGAAGAAAACTTAGTTTAGCTAAACTATTGTAGTGGCATAATTTTTATAATACTTTCAAGTTTCAAATGATTTTTATAAAGCTGCATAATAGATTATTATAAATTGGAAACTTTTACATGATTATGTGATTGGCAAAACTTTATAGAGAAATTTCAAAAAATGCCACATTTTCAAAATTTTTGCAAAAATGCCACTTAAACAAACAAACAAAATTTAATTATATCATTTATATTTGGGTTAAGTATGTTGTATTAGGATTTAATTTTGAGGGTTTTAGGGGCTTTAAGGATCAAAACATTTTTTAGGGTTTATAATTTTAAGATTTAGGTTTTAAAAATCTATAATTAGTGGTATTTTTGCAAATGGACACTCCTAAGTAATATTCTTGCAAATGTATACTAGAAAAGTGGGATTTTTGCAATTGTCCTAACTTTATAATACTGATAAAAAATGTGTAAATCTTTACGGGACTTAAATGGCATCAGGTT